AGTGCTGTTATTCGGACGACGTATCGTAATAAACGGATGGGACACGGAAGAAAGATACATGGCAACACAGCATTCTTCTTCCCCCAAACATCTTCTGATAGTTATCACGCATATCACATGTCGCAAATATAGTCGCCCCAGGCATCATATACATGTCAAGATAACAACGTGGGAAACATCTCACAGAGGCTCGTGGCGGGCAGTTTCGCGCATTCATGTGCGATTGGCTATTGACAAGGTACTCACTCAGTACACAAGTATTCGGCAGAAAGAGCGCGATATGCCTGGACGGTGGTGCTCTTTCAAGATCTTAGATCCACCACTTTGACAAAAGGAGCAGCAGGTTCCGAAGCTACAAATTCAGGCTCTGATTTTCTGCAGACTTGCGCGTTCAGATTCGCACTTCGTACATGAAGATATTGGACTTGGGCTCATTGAAGTGCGGATATACGCGTGATTCACACAATGATAGCTCCATGAGAGGAGAAAGCATGAAAACAGGGGTAAATAACGGGCAATCTAGCAGACTATCAAAAAAGATCTATGCCTGCGACCTGTGTTCGGGCGCGGTAGCATTTCATGTAAGTTAATGGCTAACTCCGAAATCCTGAAACAGGAGAGCGCATTTGATCTGTTGTTAGAGGTCCAGTTCGTACAGTCACCAGGCATCCAAGACTCCTAATCTCCCCGTACTGCACACACTGCACGCTCATAGCAAGCAGGAAGCAGACACCCGTGGACCTGGACAATCCACGACGTCCTCAAGGGATCTCGGAGCGCAGCACGTGATATCTCAATTCTAGGTACTCATATCCGTGAGCTGCGAGATATCAGGACACACAAAAAAAGTGATTGACATCGGCAATGTGACTAGGAGATAAGATTTGCCTCCTCTCCAGCAGCACATTCATGCAGAGCCAGAGCCAAAACAATTCGAGGGTCGTGGGGACACTGTGGAATCTCCACGTACTGAAAAATCATTCCCAGAAATCGGCATTGCCAGGTGCCCCCTTCAATGTTTGAGAAATGGAGATCAAAACCCTGGACAAGGCTGTCCAAGGTATCAAACCAAAATAAAGGAAAAGGAGAGAAAAACCAAAACAGCCTGCCCCGTCCTCCACACCATGCTCGCCGATAATGTACGCTGTATGTATGTTCTTAGTGGAGTCCATCAGCAGCTGAAATAGGGCGTCAAGTGGATCATTTATCGAACAAATCGGGAACCCCGAGGCAGGGGGATTATTGATTCACGACGGGTGTGTGGAAGGGGTTCGTTGATCGTGCAACATGGCTGGCTGCCCAAGCAGGGCCACCTAACGTGTGATGTTTATGGAGTCTGTTTCTTGAATTGGCTGGCAGGTTGGTGAAAAGTAAAAAAAAAGCCCCTTCGACAGTCCTCGTATGGCAGGTGTGAGGTGAGCTAACTACGGATACACCCTGTCTAGTTTGTGTACTGGGATCAACCCCTCTCGATCGCCAACGGCGGCCTCCTGTTGGACCATATCTGATCCATGTGGCTACCTGTGCATCGGGTTTAAACAAGGTTGAAGCAGGCCCAACTATCGGGTTTTCAGCTCCAGTGCCAAACTACATTTCTCTTCACCTACCTATCCGCTTTAGTCCACACCGTAGTTACCCGCTCCTGTGGATTCTCTATTCTATTACTTGCTCTGGATAGGGAAACATAACCATACCGAGGAAGACATGCATGTAGCATCCTAGCTCCAGAAATCCGACTGACTATTCGTTCTTGCTATCATAACTGTAACGTCCATCCGGCGGCAAGAGATTTTAATTTTGCCACCGTATTTCTTTTCCTAAAGACTGGATGAGAATACGTCACGCCTACATGTGGCATTGTCGGAGTTGGTTAAAAAGAAAAAAAAGAAACCGTTTTGCATAATTAAGCCACAATGTGGTATTTTACATGTCCAGTAACTATCCGACTAATTGTGCATACAAGCTAGGAGGGAACAATTAACGTGCCCTTGAGAATAAAGCCAACGGACATACGTGCATCGCATCGTTGCATGTGTCAGCCCTTTCCGACCGACCATCATTTCTCATCCTGATCCTGCTCAACGGTGAAAATAATAAATACCAGCCTAACAGGGGAGGGGGGGTTTCTGAACGAATGCCACCGTTTGCTGGACGTCCGTCCTGTATGTTCTCCTTGTGGTCTAGATGTGGGTCGACTCGCTTGTCTTGAAGACCGTTTTCTTAGTTACTACACATATTGGCTGGGGTATCTGGGTCTACCATTATTAGCGACCGGAAGTTAGACCGTTAAAAAGCACTGAAATGGGCGCATTTCTCGTCTAACCCACGTTTTGAAAGCAGGCAACTTTCTATGCGTTCCTTCCCTTTTGGGAGTAAGGTTTAGGACCGGCTGAGGCTTACCGACTGGAGTTTTTGATGAGGAAAATTGATCGTCAACCTTTTTTTCCCCCCATCTTTTCGACAGAACCGGGATCAGTTGTTGAGGGCGCGCTGGCTCGCATGTGCAGGATGTCAGCAAATCCAGAGCCCCAGAACTTGGAAGCAAGGACGTGGTACTTGGGTGGGCTTCTATCTTCTTGCACAATTTTCTCCGCTTTCATCAGAAAATGATTTGAGCAGAGCTACGGAGTAGAGTTGCTGATGAATCGTCTCCGCCCGTTTTCTCTGCTAGCTAGCACCTTGAGATTTATCCGAGCCACCAACCAATCGCTTATCGAGGCGAAGAGATCGCTTTAGAACACGCTAATAAAACCATAGCCACAAAGCTTCCCCCTCATGGCATGGTCGTCGCTTCCATCACTTGGGAACATCGTGCAGTGTCTAGTCCTTGATTTGAAATGTCACAATCCCCTCATCGATCAGCTGGTTCGTGAACAAGAAAACTATCCAGCCAAGGTGACCCTGTTGGAAGCTGCCTTAGCGTGACGCAACTGTTGCAAAAGCGCGAGTAACTGTTGGGGGTCCCGGGTCCCGGGTCCCCCTACCATCAGTGCACACTGGTGGTGATTGAGCTCTTTTGCCCCAGTGGCCCAACAGGTTATGAGGCCCTTTAGCATTGAGTCCCACTGGGTGTGTGCCAACATGCTACACAGGTTCAAAGCCAGGAAGGATTAAAAACCCCAACATCAAGATCTTGCCTGGACAAATTCAGTGCCGCATGGAGAGTCAGAGAGGCCCTAGGAGTGAGCCCTAGGAGTGATCTCAGAGAGTTCACTGAGAGGAGCTAGTGCTCTGTGGTAGCTGGCACGGGGGGGATATTGGGGGGGCCCCAGGTCCCCTCTACTATCAGTGCACTTAACAGGAGCAGATCTAAATTGCTATTTTTAGGAACTAGTCGGCAACCGCTTTTCTCCCCCTCCCAAAACGGAAAATTCAGGAGAAAGCCGGGGTGAATGTTGCTGGGTTTAACCCGAACTATCAAAATGGAAGCGATAACACGATTATTGAGCTTAGCTCCAGCTTTCGCCAACCCAGGTTACAGGAGTCTTTTGGAGTATGAAAGTACGATACGCGTATATTTTCCCTCCTCCCCCTCCGCTTGTTCACCAGCCAGAGGGGGGCGCCGTGCCTACTATCAATGATGGTTTCCTTCAGCTTGAATACATTCCATCGGAAGGACATTTCTCCGCCCGTAGTCTGCGAGAGAGCGTTGAATGACCTTTCAGGCGATAGCAATGCACGACAAACACAGAATCTAGAATGGCTTGGACAATGTGCACCAGAAATGGTGGAAGCTAAGGCATGGAGGGAGATGCCTCTATCAAACAGGGTTCATTCCTCCTGTTCGCGCTGCGATTATTGAGCCAAGATATGGGGCCCGTGTTCACGTTTTTTGGAAACCATTACTGCAGTGTGGCCAGACGTTGACAATGAAGGATTGTAGCTAGGTTAGAAGGGGTTGCAGTACACCCAGTGAGCTTTTCTGCGAGGTAGACATGTGTGCAGATTGTTTACTTGTCCGTGTTACTCCGCTGAAAGGTAGCCGGCTGGTGTGTGTGACGTGGCAAAATCTGGAGAATGTGATAAGGCTGTGGCAGTACAGTACTGCATTCGGAAATTCACTGCGCCATTCATGTGTGCGGGATGTACGCACTCAATAAGTTACGAGGAGATATCACGTTGTGCATCTCAGTGGCAAGTGTCCGATAGTAGGCATGTACATGCACATGTATAGGATGCCTAAGGCTTGTGATTGCTCTGCCAGATCTGAGCGCATACTTACTTCCCTCCTGTGATCGAAGCCCTCGACTGAGATGATCCAACTTCCGTGGAATACAGCCAATTGCGAACCTGCCAAGCCAACTGGTTCCTCAGTATCTCTTAGCCGATAGGTGGTAGGCATCTCGTTCGGTTGCCTCGAAATCAATAGCACAATGCCAATAAATGGATTCAGGAGATGTGGTTGGCTGAAATATGGATAAACGAATGGCTAAATGTAGGTTAGCGGGTGAGCTACGAAGGGGAATAGGCGACGGAAAAGGTGGTTACAGCTCATGTGCTGAGAAATAGATCTAGGGAGGAGAGCTAAACAGCATCTAGGGGTGGCAAGATTTGTCAAATTATCCCTCCAAGGGGTTTTTGAAGAGAACATACAGGGGTAGTTTCTCAGGGTTGGTTTTGAAAATTACCTCTTTTTTTTTGGCAAAAAGGGGGATGAATATACCAGGGCATCCGAGATGCGCGCAGCGAAAGCCATGCTGTTGGTATCCGCCTTTGAAACAATATAGGATAGGTAGTTATTCTTCGGCATAGTTGTAGCTGATGGCATTCCGTTGGGAGAGAGGAGTCGGAAGACGACATGGCCAAACACCGGCCAAAACCAACAACTTCGAACTCAAAGAGTTCTGCATCCGTGCATCCACAAGACTTGACACCGCTAGTCTAACTATTCATTCTGATCCTCATGATAAAAATGAGCCTGGCTTGGGCACTCCCCCGCATGGAACCGGCTTTGCACAGGCACAACGAATCTCCAGCACTCTGTACTGTCCAATATCAAAATGGCGGCATTTAGACCTCGGCCAGTCAATGCACATTGGTTCATCCTAGTACTTGAGAAGTTGAGAGCCCCTGAGGGACAGGACAGATGTGACAAATCTTTTCTTTTGGGGTCGATCCGCTTCATGTTTGCGTGACTGTGTCCTCATCCTGATAATATCCATCGGTAATCGCCGCAAAGAGGAGCATATCATTACCTCTCTTCAAACAAAAAAAAAAAAAAAACCCGTCTACGCCACTCGCGGCGGGTTGCGCTAACGATCCGCCAGTCAAATTTTCGAGGGACTCGAGCCCGGCGGACTGGCGACTTTGCGCGTGTCAAAGCATCGCGCTTTGGCAGTCATCAGCAGCCATCATCAGTATAAAATATCCGGTCAAGCTCCGCCTCGAAAATTGGACTCAGTTTTACCAACCAATGATATCGCCTCTACAGATGGGACCAAGGTCATCAGCCAATTATTGGTGCTCTCTGGAAAACGGTTTTTCGAAGAACCTTTTAAGGTTTGTAAGGTTGAGCAGGTTTTGTCCGAATAATTGTTATTTGCGCCGTCTGCTAGTTCGAGGTCTCAGGGCAATATTCAACGACCACATCGCTTTTGGCCTGAGCGTCTATGCGGCAACCCATTTCAACAACAATGAAAGTCAGGTTGGGTTCGGCTTTGAAAAAGATGCGCAAGGGAGGAGAACAATTGTCAGAGCTGGCCTGGAATTATTTCATATCCTGGAAGCAGCTGAGATCGATTGCAGAGAGCCAATAGTAAGCAAGGCGCCTCAGCGAAGCCTGAAATTTTCCTAGCCTGCCTCAGGCGGCAAATTGTGGCGTCCGCAACTCTTCCTTCGCAGTTCCACTCTGATCAGCCACAAGTGATCCACCGAGGCGTTGGCGGTTGAATGCTGCTAGGTGATGTGGAATACCAGACGCCCCGCAGCCGATCCTCAACGAGTGGTCAACACGATGCCACCTAGGTGTCGTTGCTCAAACAAAATTCGAAAGCCATTATTGGCCAATCCCATGCGTGATGGATAGTTGTATGTACCTAGGTATATCTAAGCTAAGACGCCACTGATTCCACCAATTGGTCCGGCTAAAGAACTGCAGTCAGCAATATCTTCAGCACCCCTCAGGAAATTTAATCGAACTATAGTCGCATCACTACAAGCGCGCCAGCGATTATCCCTCGCCAGAGAACGACTGGATGATTTGGTGGCCCAGCTCCAGTTGTGCCGGCGGGCCAGACCTGCTGTCAATATTGCTCAATAGTGATTCGACAAATCTTTTCGCGTGCACGGACTGGGAGACTTTTTTTTTTTACTTTGACTTTTAAAGTGCAACGGTGCAGTTCTAGCGCTCCACCACTCAGATGCTTTCCCCATAGCTCCTCAAACACTCAAGTCACGGCCCACGGGAGTACAATACCCCAAGGCCAGCTCGGTTTTCCTCGGCTAAGAGGATGCTCGAGAAAGAAAGCTTCTCTTTCCACTACTGCCGCCATCTGCCACATCATGTATGTTCCCGATTCGTGCAGGATGAACCTCATATTAAAAGCCGATCGTTCGATTCCTTTTATTCTTCCGACCCTGCAATAATATCCTCAATTATGCATGGGTTTGACGAACGGTTGCGCTTGGTGCGGTGTGCTAAACAATAATTGCTTTTAGGTCCATATGGCTTGGGGATCAAGCTTCCAATTTCCTGAAATGGAATAGCAACTCTCATGAGGTTGAAAGAATGAGAACATAAAGCATGGTGACCCATGTTGCTGCCATGCATGGATTGAAGGGGGGTTACGCATAGTATTGAGAAGAATACCTAGTACTTTGGGTGAGGAGTAGCGAATTACTGGGACCAAAACCGCTCGGCAAATCATCAGGGGAGAACAGCAACCCAGGTCAGCGGCTTTAAAGACCAATAATAACCTAATAGTTTCAGCAGATAACATGAGGAGCGAGAAAGAAATTGTCTTGGATACCCGTTTTCCAGTTTACCTTCAATGGTCTCTGCAGCAGATCGCTTTTTTTCTTTTTAGAAGGCCTCAGATCTGAAAAATGCGGAGTCGTTGATTACTTTCTGCCAGAAGCAACTGAACCGGGGGAGCCGTTGGTTCCAATAATGGTTGCATCCACCAAGCAAGGCACCTGGAAACGGCTCCTATAACCCGGGCGTATGGAGGATTTACTAACTACGGTTGCAAAATAACGACCGTCATCATTTCCGACTTTGGCCCAACTAAAACGCATGATCAATGCTTCAATGGCCATTCGAGGAGGACCATGAATTGATGCGAATGGCAGGCCCCCAGGCGGCTAAATCGTACCAGGATAATTTGACATTGAGCATGGAACTAAGGCGGATTACCAGTAGAATTGAGGAAACCAGCTCTCGCAACGTATGCGTAAAACAACTTTTGATTTTCTTAGTCAACAAGCATTGCAACGCCAATAAGCACTAGCAAGCCTCCACCATCCCAAACGCAACGGCTGAGTTGACGATTCTCGATATGGCCCTGTCGGAACACTCGGTCTCTTCCCCCTCCCGAGAAGGAGAAGAGGGAGTGATCATATCAAGGAAGCCTCATCCAATCAGCCGCTAGTATAAGTGTCTCGGGACGTTTTCATGACCTGCATCTGCACAGAATATAGGTGTGAACTAGCTGTTGGGACTCCTAGCTCAATCAACTCTCCTTGCGTGTCAAGGGGATGATTCCGTGGCCAGTGGGGGAACTATCATAGTATCGCGCAAAAAAAGCCCCATCAACACGACACCTTGGAAAAGAGGCATTGGTTCAGCATGGAGAAATCCTACAATCTGGTAATGAGGGGGCCGGGTTCCCAGGTTATATCCCTTCTTCCTTTCTCTCGAGTCTCTGCTAGTAATTTCTCTCGCCGCATTCCAGGGTAGAGACCGTCAACACTCTGATAGCAGTGAAACCGACTTTGGTTTGGAAACTTCCCGAAGCAGATAGCCAGAAAACAAGGTGATGCTTGATAGCTAATTAGCACAGATAAAATACGCCTTAAGTCGGAGTTAAATCCCTCGCTATGCTACTATGGCGGTCTAAGAAGCTAGCCTAGGTATGGATGATGCGCTGATCACTTTATTACAGGCCCATGTAACATCATGTCAGTGGTAGCAAAAAGAGTGGATTTTCCTTTTGCAGCCACAGTGAAGGCTCGGTAATGTGTATCGATTTTGTGGTGATGGCTCAACACACCCCCAGGAAATATACAGTCTTCGCCTGATAAATGATGATAATGATAGATATATTTGCACGTCTACCTGCACATTTAAGACGTGCAGCATATTAGCGACCAGAAATCGTTTTCTACGCAGTCTAGTGACAAAACATAGCCTGATTTAGCTACACAGCTCAGATTGACCCTGAGTTTCATGGTCGAATAAGAACCGGGCACCATATCCCTGCAAACTCAGACGGTCTATGACGATTGATTAAGCGATCTTCCCCGCCTAGTTAGCGCTTGAGGGTCGCCGGCTGGCACTAAAAGTCGTTCAATTTCGAATTTTTGAATGTTCGATCTACCCGATCAGAAACTGATGTTTTCTCGGCGCAGCAACGCTTGTTGCTAGCTTGCTCCACAGGAATGGCTGGCCTGCTGGTCATCTCACGCTAAGGGTGATGGCTGGCTGAAACGGTTGAAAATCGCATGGAAACTCCGCGCTGTAAAACAACGCCTTTTTCCCTCTTAGCTTTCATTTCTTTTTCCTGTGAGTGGAATCAATTGCACTGGAGTGGAAGTCGTTGGGACAGTTGCCACCAGCACCAGAGAAAGAATTCATGCGCAGGAACAGGGGTCTTTTTGAGTCGCTTGTCTCTACTACGGACTGGGCCAAAGTTTGCGAGTATCTCAATTGAGGGGGGGCGAATTGGATTTCTGTCTCGCAGTGTCTAGTTGTGGCTGTGACCACTGACCAGCAACATACCCTGGTCAGCTCAAAAAGTTGCGTTCTTCTAGGCTACGGTTGTGGTTGTGTCAACTTCACCGAACATGTCAAGGAAAAGAGAAAGAGATTCGGAGCAATCAGCCATCCCTCTAAAAGTATGTACAGTAGTTACATTACATGTACGGAGTACCATCCATCCGTCCCTGAGCAGAATTAGGGCCCCAGCCATTGGCCGCTCGGTCCAGGACTCTGGTGTGGCACCTCGACCAAATCACGTATATCTCGGCATCATCATCCATTATTGGCTGCGCTCTCGAGCTCCGGTATCGACGCTAACTGGCTGTTGTTAGGCTTTGCTGCCTTTGGACCCCACCCACTGGCGCCCTTGGTCTCTATTCCTGGGGCTAATAAATCCTTGTGATGTTCAAGCGGGTGAGCCGTGGAAGGGCCAGGGAGATCCTCCTTTTTCATATTCTCTCGATTTTCGCAAAACATCCTTTGGCGCCCGGAGGCTCGCACCAGCGCCAGATCCATGCACCCGAGCCACAGTGAGATCAGGAGAGAAAGGGGAGGGAAGGGAAAAAAAAGCGATCGCCATCCTCAAGCCGGCTTTGGTCCTTTCTCAAAGCATTGCGGCTTTACAAGCTGTTGGTAGCAACGGGTTTGCTTGTGCTCTAAGTTAACTGTTAATCCCTGGATTTCGTCTGAGCCCCATCCTTTTTTAGGCCTAGTCCTTCTTTCTTAAGTTATTTTTGAAATCAATGTGAATCATAATTTGTGTATTGGATTATTTTTTCCTCAGAGCCCCGTCATCGAGCACAGTACATGCTCCCCAATGCCCTCCAGGCCAAATATGGCAGCATTGTCCGCTTTGAAATCGGCCCCCAGACTTCGCAACAAGGCCATGAAATTGCGCAACTTAACCACGAACGGGTAATTGGAATGCAATCGTACTGATGAAACTTTGTATGACGGCCAGCTTTGATGGAAAGATGACTATTACCACCCCCTTGCTGCTGAATAATGAATCAAACCCTTTTGATGAGCTGGACTCAAAACCAAAATTTCCAAGTTTTCCTTTCACTTTTTTTTTCTTTCTCTTAGATCTCAGCATCATTTATTTCCATCACGAAGCGTTTCAGGAAGTTAAGAATTGTCATTGACGTAGTTGACGTAAAGAAATCGGACTTGGCTATTCCGTATAGTATCTGGACATACTATGGACAGTACCCTGTTTGACACCAGCCACCCAACCCCACCAACCCAACAACAAACAGCCAGCTACCAAAGCAAGGTTGTCAGTCCCGTTGCTCTTCTTCCTCCTGCCAACAGTGTTTATCAATCGGTTCTGGGAGTTTGACGGTAATGCAAGAAAGCCATCACCAACCCAGCCCACCCGAGATCTCCCTGTGAAAGAGGCGAAGCCGATGGTGGGTTCGAGTCAAAGAACCACGCTATTCTCAAACATGGGTATATGCTGCTTTGTATGACCCCGGGGAGGGGGAGGGGGGGAGAATAATAATAATAGTGTTGGGCGGCGTTTCCGAATCATCGTGCAAGCATGGCTGGCCCCCTGCATGCCTGAAGTGAACATGAGGATTGCGATAGTTCCACGCCTTACTTTCTTCCTCCTCCTCCTCTCCTCAGAGAAACGAGAGTGGCTGGGATACTGTGCCGATTCCTGGCAGATTTCTGTATGTACTGTACTTACTTGTACCTTCGGCCCCTAGTACGCATTTGTCAGATTATCACGTAGCAAAGAGTGAACAGCGTAACCAAAAGAAGAACAAGAAGAAGGAAAGTAAAAAAAAGCAAAGGGGTTCTTCCCGTCGGCTGCACCCTGTCACTGGGACTGGGAAGAAAACAGGGGGTTAGAACTTAGCAGGAGGAGGGAAGAAGTTAAGTTACCATTAATCATGTTACCAGACCATCGAGCCCAGACGCAGGGCGTTTCTTTTTTTTTTATTTATTTATTTTTTTTTATTTTTTTTTTTTTGCTTTTATATTATTATTGTTATAATATCGTCTCCTTTTTTTCGCTTCGTTTTGCTAGCTCAAGCGCAATGGAATCCTGACCCACGGCCCCTTAGCCGCTAGACTGCCAGTCTGCCAGTCGCAATGGTCCGCCTCAACCGTATTTCGTGCACAACATCCATTTTGCTAGCCTACCCTTGTTGCGAATCATCGCATCCCTGTTTTACGATGGCAAAACGCAAGTCCCCACGATCTGGAAAAGGTGTGTCCGTGTGTGTGCCATAAGGAGTGACAGCCAACCGGCGTATGGTATCATTGGTAGAGGCTGTTACTGTACGTAACGACCGGCGGGAACCTGGGCCTTCAACCCACAAGTCGATGAAACTAACTGCTGAATCAGTTTTGAGCTTTGTGGTTCCTGTTCTTGCTCCCTTTTTTTTTTTGGCTTTCTTTAATAATATTTTATGCTTTATGCTTCTTTTTTCTTTTTTTTTTTCTTTTTTTTTTTTTTAAACAGTGCATGGCTCGGCTTCGTTGGGTGGTTGGTGGGAACCCTCCTTTTTTGACTTTTGCCCCCGTTCCCTGTCTCGTCTCTGAGTTCGATGTTGGCTTGGATCCCCCAAAACGGACGACGTAAAGTTAAACTGTGTACGACTAAAACTGTGTGAAGGTGGTAGTAGGTATGTATAAGGTGTGCAGGCATTGCAGGCACGAGAGGTGTGTTTTCTGCATGTGGCTATTATGTATCGTGCAAGTAGTCTGCAAAATACATACATGGCATCATCATCATCAGCATCATCATCATCACTCTGTGTGTGTGTAGTTAGTCTGTCTGTGTCTGCGCACGTATCCAAGTACATGTACATGTACATACAAGGCGCATATTCTCGTCTGGCATCTGCTTCAGCTGTTATCTATCCAACTCTCCCCTCCCCAACCCCCCCCTTTCAGGTTGAGGAGTTACATGATACATGCAAGGAGGAGGGACATAGGCCCTGCTCTGCCTTGTCTCCCCCCCAACATGTCTTCTTTTGCATTTCCTAAAAAGGGTCCCTTGTTTGCTTCTTGTATCAGAAAAGCCGAAGAAACTTCCAGTTTGCATGCTTCAAAACGTACCTTCAAGCGCTTCTTTTACATCTGCAGTGTTGTTTGAAGATCCATTTTCGCCTCGTGTCTTAAAAAGACTCAAGCGTGACGATCTCAGATCGAATCTGGCTTGTGGGGTTCTGTCATCAGCAGCAGGAAAAACAAAGCAAAAAGAAACTTTGATAACTAACTAACTCCCCTTCCTTCGCCCCAAGGCCCTAAATCAGGTTGGTCTAGTTTCGTACACTTGTATCGGCTTGTTCTGTCCGGCGCACTATATATGAATCCGCCCACGCCCACCGCCCACTCGTGAGTTGAGACGCTTTTCCCCTCTTGCGCACTCCGCCGAGTGAGTGGGTGCTTTGCTTTACTTCTTCTTGTCCTAGCCACGCCCCATCCATCTATATAATAATTTATTATCATGATAATACCCTCCCATTATTACTCCCCCTTTAACTATAGACCTACCTATCTATATCTATTTCACGTAATTATTGTATTATTGGGCAGGGAGACTAATTCGCTCCTGCTTAGAATTAATACTTACATCTTCTTCACCCTTCTCCTCCTGAAACCACAGTGGAGCTACGCTTCTATTGGCGGGACTATCAAAGCAATTGTTTTATACCCGACCATACTTGGTCCTTTTGTGCAATCCTTTGGAACGATGGCTCCGGCTCAACGACGAGGGCCTTGGGTACCTGAGGAGGATCAAACATTACTGCAGCTGGTACGCAGTCAAGGTCCGAATAACTGGGTGCGCATCTCACAGCACATGCAATATCGATCACCCAAGCAATGCAGAGAACGATTTCACCAGAATCTGAAACCTACACTTGAATCATGAGCCTATCTCGGTTGAGGAGGGCCTGATGATCGAGAGGATGGTGCACGAGATGGGAAAGCGATGGGCGGAAATTGCACGAAGACTAGGGAACCGAAGCGACAATGCCGTTAAGAACTGGTGGAATGGATCGATGAACCGGAAAAGGCGGGGATTAGCAATTCAAGCCAGAGAGAGCCTTACGCCATCTTCCCGCACATTGAACGGTCGAGTCGAACCTCCTTACCCCAAAAGTTCCATGGCGATACACGGCCCGTGTGATCGAAGCCATTACCAGGATCCGAACTTTTCCACTCGAACATCGTCCTGGGTGTCGGTTTCTCAACGTGGGCAGCAGCAACTCCCTCCCAAATTGCTATGCCCTGAGGCCGACGGAAGGCAACGAAGGGAGCCATGTTCGTCGACTGAGTATGAATACGGATCTCCACTGGGATGGTCGAGGCAGATGCTTGACCACCGGTCTCCGATCAGAAACCACCGCCATCTCAGTCCAATCGTCACATATATGCCTCCTACGCATACGGAATTACCTCTCATGTGTTCTCCTTCTACCTCCGAAATGTCAAACTCGACCTCAGCCGGTCCACCCTCAATGGTTTCTGATCACAATTCCATCTGTTCTGCATCTCCTCGAACCGCAGCATCCCCTTCGCTAAATCCAGTGCCTGTCGAAATTCACCCAGGACAAGACGAACGGCGTAGAGGCAGTGCCCCGACCTGTCGATCACCTCCCAACCCGACAGGCCATGACGAAAATTACCACAGCTCTAAAAACGCTGAATATCACCTGGAACCAGCGGTTCCACGCCGATGGGCCCCAGATATCCCTGCTGCATACCCTCAGGAACCTTCACGGCCCCCGCATTGGAAGCACCAACACTCTAATTCCGCCCCTCATAACCAGCTTCCTCCGGCTTCAGAGCCGCGAGCTCATGTCCCATCCCCACCTCGAGACTCGAGAATGGGGCTTGAGACGCTGTTAAATTAATACCCACCTGATTCAACCTTCCAAATTTCTTTACATACTTCATCTCATTTTTAATGAAGCTTTGTAATTTTTCCTTGTTTCGCAATTTTCCTTTGTTGCTGAAATTTCCTTTTGGGTTTCCGCTAGTCGGCGGGGTGTATTTTTGGTCGGCATTTTGTTGTTTTCATCATTCTTTTGGCCAATACGATACGAGGGGAATATGGATTTCTTTCTTTTTTCATATATCACCAGCGCATAATGCCTACCATCTATCTACATCATGATTGCTATATTTTCCTATCTTTTCCTTGCTTGATATGCGGCTTCTAGAGAGCCGCCCGCCGAAAGCGTTCTTTTCTTTCGCGTTATTCTGCACATATACGTTTGAAATTATTTCAGTACATATTTGTTTTTAATTTCCTTGTGTTACTGGCGGAAATGGCATTTGCTCGTGGATTTGGGACGAGCCCGGTGGAAAAAGTATAAGGGCTGGCGGGCGGCATTTGTTTTCTGCTATTTTCACCCTATTTTAACCATCAATTATATTTTCTCTTTACCAGCCCCTTGTTGGGTTTTAATTTATATATCTATTTTCATTTTTCACGCTGCTATCTTGTATTACCACCATTATATCCTTGTCACCACTATTTAAAATTTAATATGTACTGTACCAGCCAGTACATGCATTGTGTTTTTTAACTTTCAATCTCGGGTTGACAGATTCGAAAGTTCAAAAGATCTTCTGAACCCTTCCATGCCACATGCCGGTAGCTCTAACCGCGGTGTTATCTAACTCCAGTCAGTTACCTCATTCTTGAGAACTTACCCTTTCATTCCCTTGCTTACTCAAATCTGACTTGTTCTACAAAACTCACTTCTGTCTACATTGGTTGCCCGCAGCCGCCACGAAACGCCCCATAACCATTCTTTCCTCCGAACTTTACCCTCAGAAAGGCGCGGCGGGATTAAACGGTGTTTGAATCTTTAGAATCAAACTACACTATACCTAATCGCCCTCCCCTTTGGCACGCAGGGCGGCATTTCAAAACGGCATTGGAGACGAGCCACCCTCTAACCCTCCCCCTTCCCACCCAACGTGTCTTCTTTGTTCGCTCCTTGTTCCTCGTTTCGCCGTTTCTGCCATTCCGAAACGAATAAGCGGCTCTTCGTTTTTGCTGATCTTCGCATATTCCGAAGCATGGGCTGCAGCTCTAACCTCGGCGGATTTAAAATAGTTAACCAACCCACGGAGAAACAACGCCCAGAGCCAAAAAGTAAAAATAAAATATCGGAACTGCAACCTCCAGTTTCTTCCTGTCCACTAAGTTAACTAACAAAGCCGCTATGGCATTACTAATAGTTGTGTGTTAGCTAACTAACCCTGTTGCTTTCTCTCCTTCTCATTCCCAAGCCCTTTCCAAGGCTCAGCCCAGCTAACTCCTGCACTACATGTACGCAAATTGCATCTCCTCGTATATGCGTCTGCTGTGGAAGGCTGTAAGAGGGGAAAGAGAACAAGGCAATCGATCCGTTGTCTGATAAACAAACACTCCATCATGAGAGCTCTCGTATATGTAAGTCTGTACTGTCTGTGCCTCTGTATGTATTGAGCCATTTACTTTCCGAAGGACTTAGGCCCTCTTTTCCCCGTAACACAAGACGCACAGAGGGGGAGCGTGGAGAACTCTGGCACATATTTTATGCGGTGTAACCGTCGGCATTTTCCTATTAATTCCTTTATTTAAATATATATATATATTATATATATATATTGTTTTAAAATGGTTTTTATTTGTCGTTACTCGTTACGGAGTAATTAGAAGCAAGAAATGGGAAATAAAAGGCAAAAGGAAAACCACTGGAGTTTCCTCCATACATTTGGTAACTAACGACGTGTTACTTGGATTGAGTGCACTAGATCTACTTCCTTCCTGCAAACTGCCCGTTTGGGTTTCTTGTTTTCAGGCGCCCAGATCTGTCAAAGGGGAGAGGGCTTTGGTGCAATTATTCCGTAAAACAAAACCTTTTACTCGCTATTTTTAATAGCTTCACTTTATCCCGTTTATTTGTACGCCGAAGGGTCTCCGAGAAGTCGGGTTCATGCCAAGCACTTGCTCTGTTCTCATTGTATGTATGTACACTTTTGTAGAAAAAGTAAGTAGTGATTGTTACCACTATGAGTATTATTGCATACCTCAATTCGTCAGCTGCTTGTTCAATTTGCATTTTTTATGTCTCATATTGTTGTATGAATATCGGCTCTTAGTAGTACCCATTGATATCAAACGGTAACAATAGCGATACATGATAGAAATGACAAAGGTTGGCGGGACATTTTGTCTCCGGTCCCATCCGTAATTCTTGTTCAAGATGGAAACAAACGGCATTCAGTTTCCGTTTTTGGAATACGGGGTGTCTTCTGTCAATGGCGGGGTTAGTTCGCGTTCTTCTGGGGGGCAGCTTGGGGGTGGGGGGGGGGTCCTTGCGTCCTACTTAAACCACTATAATTGTTGCGCCAGGATAAATGATTTCAACGGCCGAGGGAGATGGAGGCTAGACCTATCAAAAAAGTTGCATTATCTATTTAATCTCTTATCTCCATTAGGATTATCAAATTGTTGAACACGCTTCAGCGATCACGCCCGAGTCTGTGTAGCGGTTTTTATTTTTATTTTTATTTTTTTTTTTTGTGCATCGGTGCACAGAAGCGTGGAATGTACCGATACAATGCGTAGAGCTCTAAGTTACGGAGTAGGCTCTCGGACTTTTTTTTACGCAGGTAGCAGGTAACCAGCCATATTGCCCAAGGCCCTACGCCGTTTGGATGATAATAAAATAGTTAGCGGGGTTTCGCGTTCATAGAGGTGATATGATGAGATGATTGGGATGTGTTCAGGCGATTGCAATATTCCGTTTCTCCCCTCCCTTTTCGCCAACCAACCCAGATGAAGCGGGAGGGACGGACAAGGTCAGTTTATCCTCAGTCATGTACATGTACACTACTTCCATTATCGACGATGCAAAGAAGTGTACTGAAACTCGTGCTAGGTGGTCCATGCTGGGCATATTTATGACGTTACACACTGTCTACACCTTTTCTAGAGTAATAGTTGGGCCGATAAGGGACACAGAACACATTGAGCACCCCATTCCGCGTCTGGAACCATTGTGTGCGGGAGCCAGGGTAAGGCGGATAAGCCCGCAGTGATCATACCTTCCTCGGATTGGGCCAGGATAGTTCCGTTCCGTCCGTGGGGAAATAAAACGGTATAATGTAACATGTAAAAAAATGGCATTGGCAGTCGAATCGCATTATTCATGCACAGAATCGAATATGATGTCAGACAGACGAGAGCATTACGAGTATAGGGAAGATGTGATAAGAGACATGGGTTTACGGCAGGGACTCAAACGAGGCCACGTTTTCAGAATGCAGCTTGCTCGAAAAAGCGTTTATTCTCGGTCTATAACAACAGAGTAAGGCGTTTGCATCCTCTTTTCTTCCCGCTACGCTATGTTTACATGTTTACTTGCCCAGAATCTGATAGAGGTTCAATAAAATAGAGTTCGAGATGTGGAGAGCTTCTTCGGTGGAGCATCATCATACGAATCCTAATTGGCCTAAACATCCAGAGAACTGATTAAGGTGTACCAAGGGCAATGCTAGCGCAACTTAATTTGGACGTTGGAGATCCTCCGCTCCCGCCCGTTCGAGATGGTGGGTTCTGCCTCGTGTGTCAGAGTCTGTGAGCGTACAACCTATATCAAGCGGTTGTATATCTGTGTTTGGCATTTGCATGGCTTTTCCCGGGAGTACGAAAACTTCCTATCGAAATACCCCTTTGGGACGGCGCCCCCTTTCCTGTGGAACTCTCCAACGCTTTTGCTTGCTAGACCCAGGGCGCTTAACATTGCCACGCCTGATGACAAACAGTGTATCTCAAGGCCCTCCACATGACAAAATGCTATCCAAGCCATGATATACTGCACGTTCCTTATCGAGTCAGTTGTGCTACTTTGTTGGCAATTAGTACATGACGTAGGTGGGGGTACCTCATAATCTTACCGCTCAAGGCTCGATTAGGCAGTTCGACACTGTCCTTTTTGTGCTCCATTCAAAATATTTCGGCGAATGATATTCTACCACCGCCGGATTTTGGAGTGCCAAAATTATACATGCGCATAGTAACGGGTGTATAGCTTTTTACATCCAATTCTGGACCGGAGATGGGTCAATGGAAGCAAAGACCGAGCAAGCAGTTAGCCGCAACAAACGAACGCCACGGTCCATTCAACGAATTTTTAAGCTTTATCTTTCATTGGTCCAATTTACCCCGCGAGGTGATAACCAAAAGATCAGCCCTGGGGAACAAAGAAACCTTCGGCGGATAGTGGCTGAAGAACCCTGGTTCTGGGACCAACGGGTCAACGCCCATGGGAATCTGCGCCTGAACTGCTCTCGGGGGACGCCCAGAAGTTGTATTGTTCCAGATATCTTTCACTCATGCGCACCTTGCATAGGAACCAGGAAACAAGGGTACAGCGTACAGCCGATTACAGGTGAGAAATACCCTAGTGGCTGTCACGAGAATGTAGACCCAATCAGGGTATTTGCTGTTGTGCCTTGCATATCACGACGGGTGGAGATGATAGGTTGGAAAATTAACCTGGCGAGGCCAATCCTCTTCCACTCTTTGCTCCATGAGCCATTTTTGGAGGACGGGGGAGGGAAAAGAAACGGTAAAACCAATTCAGCTATGTATTGTCGTTTTTATTCTGCCAATTATCCATGCTCCAGCCGTCAATCACCATGCCGGTTAACAATAGCTGCTTGCATGTACATGTACATGTACGTTCGCATGGCGAGGAAGATAATGCACATGAACGGCCTCGCGACTATTTACCCCCGTTTGACTGATGCACGATTCACTACGCGATGGCCGAAATTCTTCTTTGAAGGAGCTGACATACAGCTGACAGCTATCCGGGCATCGGCTATTGCCACGCATTCTGTCATTGCG